TATACATACATATTTGTGTATGTATCACTCATTCTTTAGAATTGGGACAAAAACCTTACTCTTTCATTAGGCTGGAAAATATATTTTAAAAGATCAAAGTCTTCACTATTTAACCTTGTCATGAGCCAACCTCCCAGTGAGAAAACATATTGGTTTCCTAAAGTATCCAATCCTCTTTATCTCCAGCAAGGTCAGCTCGCCACATTTTAATGTTAGGTATGTCATTCCCCTTCCAAAGCATTAATATACATTTCTTAGCACACATGAGACAGAAATGAAGAAAATGTTTATGAGATTATGAGAAACTACTCATACTCCCAGCAATGTTAATCATAAATCATAGTTAGAGGGTCTTGCTTTACTTGGCATGCAAGAATTTTGGAGGTAGTACTAAAAATATTGATCTAGTAATTTTCAGTTTTAGGACACTGTATAAAGCTGTGACCAAGGGCGGCCTCACAAGTCTCACATTCCTCATAAAATGGTGACACTGAGGGAAATAATCCATGCAGTTTCACCTTTGAGTAATGTAGTCTAGAGAATGGGGTCTGGCCACAAGGAGGCACTATTAAATTAAGTTCAACATATTCCCCTCTGCTTTCTCACTATCCTATCTTGTATGGCTGAATCCAAATGTCCGCACTTGCAGACTCACAGACTTTGCGGGCGCGTTCACGGGAAGTCCGGGAGTGCTTAGGGCTGCCCAAATCCACAATTCATTCAGTCCACAAGGGTCCTCAAACGGACTTTCTGTGGATTTCCAGAGAGTCCGCTTGGGTTTCAGACTTCAGCAGACTTCACTAGTTTAATTACCCATAAGTCATTGCAATATGGATGTGACGTTTTAATTTTTTCAAATTGCTGACAGAAAACACACACACACACACACACACAAAACCCCATAAACTTATTCTAAATTGTAATAGTAAAACGTTACTTGAATAATGTAGGCCAGATATAAAATTCAACAACATCATGATACAGAAATATGTAGAAGTATAGGGTATAGAGGTAATCAATATGCATTTTAATATTGCAGCCGAGCCTATAAAAGCTGTGCAACCTGATCACGTAGGCGAGTGCTGCAGTGATCACCATATTCATGATAGTCTCTCAAATGTTCCCATGGACACAAGTGAAACAGACTCCATGCCTGTCTATTAGCTCTTTTTATAATGCTGCAGACTCCCGCTGTTGCAGACTTTACGTGATGACGGTGAAGACGTCACATTCGTACGCCTGAAGTCTGTCAGGGCTCAGTCTGCAAGTCCAGAGGGTGGAGATTTGGATTCAGCCTGTCACATTTCCTTCATGCCATTGGAATTCCCTTGCTGCCAATTAAAGGCAATGTGGCCACTGACACACAGTGATTAATTTAATCGTACACAGACAGACAGACATACACACACACACACACACACACACACACACTGTATACTGACCACCATTATACACTAGCTGAATACTGTAACTTGTTTCATCAACGCATGATTTTTTATGAATTTTGAGAGCTTGAGGTCAGGGGGAATCAGATCTGAAAAATTTCCACACAACAAAATGCATCATGTCTCTGGTCCTCCACCTACTGTGTCAAATGTAGTCACATTTTGTAGCTCTTCTCTGCAGCAGTCTGCATCTACACAGCCAACAGTCTGACGATGTGTTGACAGCAAAATCCTCACTTTGACCAACACTTTAAAATTCCCAGTTCAGTTATAATAGTGTTGAGCTGTTGGTCAACTCTCTGACCTCTGTGATCAGAGTTCTACAGTGGACATTTTTGATAAGCAGAGAAGCTTCACACTGCACCCAACAGTTTTAGTGTGCAAAATAACAAAAAGCATGTCTGCCGATTCTGATAGATCATTTTAAAGCCAATATTGACCGATACCGATTATGTGCCGATATAATTGTGCATCCCTACGTACAACTGCAGAGCAATGCACACACACAATCCCGTTCTTCTGCGTAACTCTCTCTCCGGTACTGTTGTAGCTGACTGGCTCACCGGCAGGTGGGTCCTCCAGCTCCTGTGTATTAATTTGCGCTTGCTATTGTGACAAGTTATTATGTTTGTTGTGCTAACCTCAATATTTGTTTATTGTGTTTCATATCATAGGCCCACAAATATTAATCCATATCTCATAATTAAGAGACTTTGATCTAGACCCTCCCTGTGTCCAAGGCTATTCATTTATTTAAAAAGATCTAGACTGTTTAATTGTTCTATATCATCACGGTATTACTAATATAAGCAGGGGACTTTAATACAAACTGGTAACCACTGTATGTCAATGTGTGAATGGGTCAGACCTGTGCAGCTCTGGATTTGAAATGAACTGTAATGAACTGGAGCTTGCTGTGAAACAACATGACCCTCATCCATTTAAAATGAACATTCGTTCTTCTGAGCTTCTTTTGGTTAAAGTAACGCAAAAGTAGTGAATAAGTAACTAATTACTCTACACAGAGAGTAATATTGTAAAGTAACTTATTACATTTAGACAAAGGTAACTAGTAATAGGTAGCATATTAGATTTTGAGAGTAACTTGTTCAACACTGCTGATGTATAAATGACATTAAACAGGCTAAGAACTGAACTGATAAGCACGAGGTGTCCTCTCCAAAATCAAGTTCTAAACTTACCGTCTCTCTGAATTTGTTCAACATTAAATACCACCGCAAATTGTGTTGATATCTCACACACTGCATCTTAACCATATTAAAGACAAAGGGATTGTGTTGTGAGCCTTCAAGGGACAACTTTTTCTGCAATCTGTCCACAGTGCAGTTCATCTTATTCTCCCTTTCTGGCTTTGGAAAAGCAATCACCTGGGAGCAGGTAATTGAGCAGTCTGGACTATTCATACTTTATCATCTTACACCAGTCTTTTCTCCTCTTTCCTCCATCCCTCCATCCTACAGCTGTGAGGAAGATGTGAATGAATGTGACCGCAGTAATCCAGAGGGCGAGTGTGAAAATGGCGGGGTTTGCGTCAACACTTACGGCTCCTTCTACTGTAACTGCACAGCAGGCTTTGTGGGTGAGCGCTGCGGCCTGCGGCCCGTTGTTGTCCCGGACATGCGGGCAGGTCACACTGTGGTCGGTAAAGAGGAATTGATCGGAATCGCAGTGGTGCTTTTTGTCATCATTACCCTCATCATCCTCTTCATTGCTTTCCGCAAGAAGGTTTTCCAGAAGAACTACTCGAGAAACAACCTGTCTCTGGTCCAGGACCCAGCCACTGCAGCACTCCTCAACAAGGCTAATGGCGTTCAGTTTAAGACCCTACACTGCACGCCAGGCGACCCTCTCAACCTGTACTCAGAGCCAGGGCTGGGTGCTGTGGTGGGAGGGGGTGGGATGATGGGACCTCCACAGGTACCTGTGAGGCCCATGGCATACACGCCCTGTTTCCAAGGAGATCCGCGGTCCACGCTGGAGAAGATGGTGGATGGACGCGGCGTGGAGCATACAGAGATGAGCACCTTTCACCCGGAGTCACCGAGGATCCTCTCAGGTACCACCAGAAGGGGAGTGGTGGTGTGCAGCGTGGCCCCCAATCTTCCGCCAGTGTCCCCCTGTCGCTCAGACTGTGACTCCATACGTAAGAGCCCATGGGACAGTGATGAGGGTGAGTGTGTGTGTTGTTTTACTTCCTGCTACAGTGGGAGTATGCAGTTAGAATAAATTAGAGATAGCAAAGTGGTATTATGTAGAGTGTGTTTGTGTGAGTATCTCGGAGGTTCTGCCAATGAGGTACATTTGGGCCAATATTGAACTGCAAACACATGTATTCTACAAATCAAAGAACTGTTGTTTTTTTTTTATATGTAGTTTGTGATTTAAATTGGCATCATATTACTGTAGTAGTCGGAACATAAGTTACAGGTTTTTGTGTCCTCCAGAGAGGAATGTTAGCAGCAGACTAGGCTTTGTTTTGGTATTTTGGTAGCTCCAAAGTAGATCCTTACTTTAAAGATCTGATTGATTACATTTTTACGTAGACAAGTAATTTTTAAAAAAAATGCGGAATAAAAATATAGCTTTTCTTCTTTAAGTATCCTTGGGCAAGATACTGAACACCAAATGTCTCCCAATGGCTGCTCCATCGGTGTGTGAAAGTGTGTGAATGGTTACTGATTAGGCAGATGGCATCTAGTATGGTAGGCTCAGCAACTGACTTGTGAATGTGTGTGTGAGTGGGTGAATGTGACTCAGTAGTGTAAAAGCACCTTGAGTGGATTGAAGACTAGAAAGGTGCTATACAATTGCAGTCCATTTACCATTTATACAATATTGTTCATCATCATGTTTTGCTAATTTTTGCATGTAAAAGCACAAACTACTACTACCTTTACACTCTTTAGTTTTTTTCCTCACCTTAGATTAACTGGAGTTAATGCATTTACAATGCAGAGTTATTACCACTCTTATATATGGAAAAACAACAGTTCACAGAATCGTTTTTATAATGTTTGAGGAGGTATTGCTCTTCAGTTGGTCAGATAATAATAGATTGACAGGCTCCCTCAACCTGTCAAGTCAAACGTTCTGTCCTCTGTATGCTCCAGATATAGTCCTTTTCTTAACTTACTTTCAACAGCAGGAACGCACATCACATGACAGTATGGAAACAGCCACATAATTAATGAAAAGTTATGGAAGTTAGTTTTCGTCAAGAGAAAATCCCAGGGGAAAGTCTGTGGTTTTTGTGACCCATCCACCACTTCAGCCTGCCTCCTTACAAGAACACTCAGGACTGGTTTCTTGTTTAATCCCACCAGCATATCGGTCATGTGATTGTAAACTTCCAAAATATGTGGGTTATGCATGAATTACTGGCCCATGACTTTTCATAATGAAACGAATAAACACTTTATGAGAACACCCTGGTATAGAATAAGGAGCATGCAAAAATACAGTTTTCATTTTGTACACATCCTTTCAGCTCTTCAAAATGCAGTTTTTCTACTTTTGTGTTTGTTTTGGCCCTCCTGACCCCTTGAACCTCTCCCTGCAGGTAAGATGGTTGACATGGCAGAAGAAGTAACGTGTTTCTCAGGAAGCAACAAAGGCAGTAACTCAGAGGTCCAATCACTGAGCTCCTTCCAGTCTGACTCTTGCGATGATAATGGTAAGACACACCCCTTGCACTCACAGCAAGAATGGTTCAGGATTCTCAGGATACCTCAGTTCCTTAGCATTTCAGTTCATCTAAATATGATTATATTTTAAAGGCTTTGTTTGCTCGCTTATTATTTGGTTACACTGAGTGTGTCTTTCTTCTGTTTGAAAGTTTTACTCATCAATATCCATGCAAAACCTGTACCATCCCTCAGACTTTCTGTGATACATTTGTGAGAAAATTGTGAGAGAACTATTTGGACTAACTTAGAGTGCTGCAATAATTGTTTCTAAAATGCTGCATTAGTTAATCCCTGTCAGAAAAATACATAGAGGAGATCTGAATAAAACAGTGACTCTCAAATAGCTGTATTTTTCATGTGTTTAGTAACTGGCAACCTCAGTATCTGAAAAATGAAGCCAACATGGAAGTGCCAAAAAGTGCAGTTTCTCTAATGGCCTTAGTGTAATGGTTAGAGCACTCGTCTTCCATGCGGAAGGTCCAGGGTTGGAATCCTGCTGGGGTCGACCCCTGCTGGGGGCGAAGGCATGCGGTCACAAGAGGTTCCCACTGCCGAAACAAACGAGATCAGGTTCCTTATGAGGATTCAGGATAAGAGAGTAACTCAACAAGGGCACGTCTCAAGCCTGTTGTAGACAGGAGGTTCCAGACGTAAAAGTGGATTCAGCAGTAGTTATACAGGGCCTCATGGGTAACTGGATATGTGCAGGACAGTAAGAGAGAAAAGAGGGGAGGGATAGAAAGCATGGAAGCAAAGAACAGAGAGAGTACAATAAAAGTTATTTTCCATGATAGGAACTTAACAACCCGTCACTTGAAGCTTCTCATAACATGAATCTTTAAAAACCCATAAGGTGTGCCATGGTCATCAGGTCTATTCTCTGCTTAGTGTATGACAGAAAAACACATAAATTTACACGTAGTGACGTTTAAACATCAGTAGCATTACACTAATAGAAGAGCCCCGTCCATAGGCAGATTGATAGAACAGAGAATATTTATCGGGTATTCTGACTCACAATATTGCCTGTATATTGAAACACACTTAGATGCAGTGCCTATCTAACAATGTCCTGTCTTATTCATTCTGTGGTGTTTGCTATGTTTCATACCAACTGTTGCATTACTTTCCCCTAAGAGTACCTGGAAGCTGGATTTAGTACTACTTCTGGAACGGTGCTGAAATTTATGTTTGTGGAATAATGCAGGAATGCATTCCCAAGTATTCACAAGTGTTTTCTCACAACTGTATATTATAATGATCTCACAACAGCATCCTTGAAGAGGCTAAGAGGTTTTGATTGCTTCACAGTGTAGTATTGGTGGTCTTGGCATTTGTGCTGGAGCTGTGTGTTTCGTTTTGTGTTTCATTTTCATTGCATCATCCTGTTCTCACTAGATTTTATTTAAAATCCATGAGAGTCATTGTTTTACCTTTCAGAATGATCATAATTCAAAGATGTCAGCTTTTTTTTTGCCCCTAGTCATCACTTAATTAAATATGTAAGTTTTGCCTTAGCTATGTTAATACTGTCACCATTGTCATTCGTCTGCTTAAAGTCTGACTGGTGTCACTAGATGTGAAAGTATCTGTGCTAAAATGAAAAACGCAGTAGTGTAGTGTTTTTTGCTTTGATATTGCTTTGTTTGGCAATTTTCTTTGCTGATTTATTTTTTTACCCAAAATATCTCCATATATATGAACAGTATTGTATGCAAATTTCCCCCAAACATGAAATTCAGCAAGAAGTCTTGATTGTGCCAGAGGCAGACAAGGTAGCCCTCTCTGCAGACAGGACTGGCAGTGGTGGGCAGCCATAAGCAATGCCATAAGTGTGAGGGGATACCCCTGTCTAACACCATAACGAGCATTTTTCACCTTGGATGACTGTCTTTCAAACTTTATCTCCTCCTTTTTTCCCTCCACAAGCCTCCATAGTGACCGTCATTCGACTGGTCAATGATGCAGTCGACACAATCGAAAGTGAAGGTACCATGTCTCATCCCCTTTGTGTCTCTCTCCTCTCACTCTTCTCTGATCTTAGTCTGGTCATTGCAGGATTCTGAAAGAGGTGTCTCCAGTTAATACCCAAGCCCATACACTTACTGTGTGTTACATACTGTACCTTCCAGTAACATAACCCCTCCTGGGCACTGAATTAGCTCCCATCATCTTTACAGATTATATATATTTACCCTTTTTTCCAGAGAGCACACTTAACTTCTAAGGTCCCTGTTAAACAGTGCTGCTGTGTTGAACAATCTCAAGAATTTTACATTTGTAAAACTCAGAAAACACTTTAGAGACCTACATTCATTTTCACACCTCCAGCCTCAACAAATCTTCTGTCCTATAAGATTACACTTTGAACAGTAGACACACTTATGATCCAGTGCTAAAGGCATCTGTGTTATGTTGTTCTTCCATCTGACAGTGTCAGTTATGGACCAAGGTCAAACCTACAACAGAGGTGACTACCAGACCCCCTTCCTTTACCCCACCCCTACCTATCCATCCATCCATTCACCATTCTATCTATCTATCTATCTATCTATCTATCTATCTGCAGTGAGTAGACAAAATAACAATTACTCAATGAAAATTAGAGTGCAATAACACAATCTACATTGTAAAGACTGAAAAGTGGGTCATATTAGGCTGTATGTCAGTTAACAACATTACTCATGTTTATCACCCCCCTGTTTGTTGTCGACACAGTTTGTGTCTGTGTTGCTGTTCAGCAGATTCTTTTTAAGACTGATGTCCTTGGTATATTGAATAATGTAACAGCATTTTTGCCCTGCTAACACCAAAGCCCAATGATGAAGATGCTGGTAGGTCGATCTATCAACTATTTAGTCCGGAACAAGATATCTTGACCAAAGTTCCATAACATTTGCTAATGACTCACTGACCTGTCCTCTAATGTCAGGATCAAGCCAAAGCTTTCACTTGACTTACATTTATGTCCCTGACAGGGAATCTTGAAAACTTAAGATTTGCTGTAAGGGCCAAAAGGACAAATGTGTCTTGTAGCAACAACAACTGGACAGAATGCTAGTGTCAGATGTTTTTTTGTTTCCATGCACAGCTTTAGAATTTTTGTCTTGTTCAGTCGTTGCTCCTACAGTTTGAGCTCAGATTAATGATTCTCTCTGAAGCTCGTTTAGTTTTCCTGGATTACTTTGAATTGTAGACTGTACTAAAATACTTTTAAGTCCTCAAAAGTGTTACAGTCAGCATATGCTGCTAATTCGCATTCAATCTATTTTGACCCACCTTTAGTCCCAGTGAAAGCTGAGCCAGAAAGACTCTGCCCTACTCCTTCAATATACATATACAGTACAT